ATCAGGTTTCAGAAAAGTTAGTGGAGAGACAAAAGCAATGACTGCAGATCAAAGTGCAAAGGGGAAAAGCGAGAAATGGCAGAGGGAGGAGGAGGAGGAGGGAGGATGAAGGGGGAGGAGGAGGGGGAAGGAAGAGGAAAGAAAGAAAGAAAGAAAGAAAGAAAGAAAGAAAGAAAGAAAGAAAGAAAGAAAGAAAGAAAGAAAGAAAGAAAGAAAGAAAAGAAAGGAAACAGAAAGAGACAGAAACTAAGAAAGGGGAAGGGGAAGGGGGAAGGAAGGAAGAAAGGAAGGAAGGAAAGGGAAGGAAAGAAAGAAAGAGAGAGAGAGAAAGGAAGGAAGGAAGGAAGGAAAGAAGGAAGGAAGGGAGGGAGGGAGGAAAGAAGGAAGGAAAGAAGGAAGGAAGGGAGGGAGGGACGGAGGAAGGAAGAGAGAGAGAGAGAAAGAAAGAAGAAAGAAAGATAAAAAAGGAGGAAGAAAGGGGAAGGGGAAGGGGGAAGGAAGGAAGAAAAGAAAGGAAGAAGGAAGAAAGAGAGGAAGGAAAAAGGAAGGGAGGGAGGGACGGAGGAAGGAAGAGAGAGAGAGAGAAAGAAAGAAGAAAGAAAGATAAAAAAGGAGGAAGAAAGGGGAAGGGGAAGGGGGAAGGAAGGAAGAAAAGAAAGGAAGAAGGAAGAAAGAGAGGAAGGAAAAAAGGAAAGAAGGAGAGAGAGGGAAAGAAGGAAGAAGAAAGAAAGAAAAGAAAGAAGGAAGGAAGGAAGGAAGGAAAAAGTTTCTGCAAGAGAAAAGGAAAGTTCCCAAACCGACCTCACCAAGCCCTGAGCGCGCCCGGGCGTCCCCAGCGCGGTCACCGCCTCCTGCAAACCCTGCTGGGACGGACGGACGGGGGCTGCTGAGTCCTGGGCGTCCGATCCTCCTGTCCCCTCCTCTCCACCCTCCCAGTTCTGTTTGCGGTAGAAACAGACTCGGAAACGAAATCAAACAAAACCAAAAAAAAAAAAAAAAAAAAAAAACAAACAATGTGGGAAGGTCCCCCTTGTTCTCAGGACGAGGGAACCGTCCGGGACAAAAGGAGGTGGCCGCAGGGTGATTTCAACACCCCTGTTGGCTCCTGGGTACCCCCCACTCCCACCCCCACCCCCAGGG